GGAATCTGCTGCCTGAGGACTGAATGAATCAGCAGCAGAGCAGACTGCTGGAACAAGAAGGGACTAATGAACAGGAGGCAAAAGACGTGGCCACCCATGACATGGAGGAAATCCAAGCTACTTCTGTACCTATTTTTCCTGCTATTGTAGCTGCATCCACTGGACAATTCCAAGGCGCAGATCATGCCTGTGGTGGCTGATGCAGTCCCTGAGTGGAAGAGCATGTAGAGTCCCAGGAATTCTGCTTATACAGCATGATATGTGGATAGTATTAGAAAAGCTATTTTATGCAGTGCCATCTTCACTACCACCATCCTGCTGCTCAACCCTTTTTTGCCAAGTTGACCTAGGATTTCAGGACCTAGGATTTTAAAGGATAGGCTAGGGCTCCAAAATGAACAGTAGCTACAGACATCCCATGCTCATGAATTTTCTGCCACCCTGGGCCAAGGATTGCGTCAAACGAAGACAGTTTCCTTGCCAGTTTGCAAAATCATGAGTATTTCAGAAACAGGGACATACAGTAGCTGTATGGATGCCATTGCTTGCATCCCCAGGACAGTTTCGGAAGCCTGATAAGTGTTTTATCATTGTTCTATCAGTTATATTAATATTTACCACCCGACTGAACCACAGTGGTAATCCCTTTGCAAATGTTCATTGCTGTACTGCTGACAGTTTCAGCCTGCCAGTGTCAGTGATGAGTCACTGAAGCACACGGACTCTTTAACTCTTTGAAGGATTGCCCTTAAATTGGTTCTTTATTAGGGTGTGCTCTAGTTTCTGGGAACTCAAACCTTGCATTTCCTTTTCCCCCACTGAACTCCTCCCTATCTTACCTCCCATACCTACTGTTTGATTTCAAAACTATGAAAATGTAGTGTATTTTATTCATGGGAATCTTTTTGCTAGACAGCAATGGTTTTCTATGTCAGACTATCTAATGTAACTGAAAGTCAGCCTTAGTTGAGATGGAAGAGAAAAAGGTCTCATCATTACAGGACTAGTGTGCATGATATAGTGTCAAGGTAGGCATTAGTAAATGGGGCTCGGGACCTAAGGATATTAAAAATGCTGGACCTTTGAAGTACAAGGATGTTTTTGACCATTTGCAGGATTCTGTACCAGTTGTTATCATGAGGGACAGTCATAAAAAATAGCTGGAGTTGTAGCCTTGCTGTGACTCAGTTTGCTGGAATTACATAGGCATCACATATATTGAAGTTACTGTTAGAGACTACAAACACCTTGTTAAGATATAACTGTACTGTCACTTCTTATTACTCGTCAGTTGTTAGCAGCTTTAAGGATTAGAGGAGCTCATGATGGTGCTAAATAGGTTATATATTTATGTGGACTGATAAACAGAGATTCCTAAGTCAATTCATTGTTTCTGTGGACTGAACTTGCCCTGCGTGAGCTAGGCGGTCAACCCAAAACAGCAATTCCAAGCCATGTGCGCTGTGTTGTTCTGTGCATAAATCCAAAATGTCAATCTTGAAATGCCCTGCTTGCTGTTGGAAAGAGTAGTCATAGCTGCCTGTTAGGAGACGAGTATACCTTGCTTTCTGTTGCAGTGTAAGAACTGGAGGCAGGCATCTGCCAGGCGCTGGAACCTATGGCAGGGGCAGGAGCTAGTGGCCTCCATGCTGATGTGGAACCAGGAGGAACATAGCCACCTCAGCAGGGCACAGCACTTGTGCCCCACCTGAACCTGGCCAAGAGGCCAGCATTAGTGGTGTTGTCAATGACAGTTTAACGAATGACCCGTTGTTTCCCCACAGCAGTGCTTCACTGAAGTCTGTCACGTCACAGGAGGCAATTCAGACCAGGTCACTCAGTGTGTGCCTTTCTGCCCCTGCCAGTCTCTTCCCATCATACAGAATTGAGTCATCTCTCTTTGGACCCATGGCAGAAGAGACCAAGAGAGCTTCACCTTTGATTACCTAATGCTGTTGTGGTTGGGAAGTCTTCTTGAGATGTCAGACTTGGTTTCAGCTTCTCTCGCCAAATCAACTAGCGTGAGTGGGGTTGCTGACATCTTCTGACCTCTTAGACACTTGCCTTAGCTGTTGAACCTGCCCCCAAAACATTTGGGGCGTTTACAGCTTTCTTCTTGTGAAAGGCCCTACAGGCCTGTTCTGAAAATGCCCACCAAATCAGGCACCACAACTGGGCTAGGAGGGAGAGCCACTGGATTTGAAAATCCTGATGTCAACCCAGGGCTCCAAGCAACTGAGCGTCAAGACTTAGCAGGTTTTGCGCGTGGCCACCTGCAGAAACTTAACATGTTACTAAGGTTTAGGTACTGAATGGAATTTTTTAGCATCTCATTGACACCTGAAAGCAAGACTGTAGTCACTTAGGATGGATTCATCTCATCTGTCGTTAGACAGCCACAGCATAGGTGCCTGTGTCTGACTGTTACTGCAGCCGTGCTTTGTATTCACCGCAAAGAAACAGACACATTTAGGGCATGATTCATTTGACCTACTTTATACATTTGCTTGAAATTGATCCTTATTATGACACTTCAGTGTTTAAATCCTTGTGATTCCAAAAATGTACTGCCTATCGGTGTCTTCAAAATTATTTGTGAATAACCATGCTGTTACAGTAGTAAGAAGGGTTCAATTAGTAGGCTGTCAATAACGTATTCATATTCTTCCTGCAGAGCAAAACCTTTCTTTGTGTTGAAGTAATGTGTTTTAATTTCGATTTCTTACAGAAATTATTCAGAGGCTGCTTGTGCATGTTGGAAATTCTGACATGACTATGGATGTTGTCTTCTTTTGCTTCAGATAAACTTCGAAGAAGCATGCCTAACCTCGCTCGGATGCCAAGTACGCCCACCATTAACAGTAATGCTGGCTTTGCTAGTTCTCCAGTCACTGTGAGGAACAGTCAGAGCTTTGACTCCAATTTGCATGGAGCGAGCAATGGGATTTCAAGGATGCAGTCGTGTAGTAAGTACCTGTGTTGTTTGGCTGCGCACAAGAAATCAACAGAGTGGTAAAATACATGTCTCAGTCACTGATCCTCTGCTTTATGAAAAATTAAAAGCTGACTGTGTTCCTTTTGCACCAGATTTTATTATAGGTCAGGATTTTCAAAGTTGCTATTTTGGAAAGCAAATTCTGCTGATCTTGTTATGCAGTACTGAGAGTTTCATCACCTCCATTCTTTTTTTCTTTGCCCATTCATTTTGTGCCAACTTAAAAACAAAAATTATGGTAATAATTAGTAGTTGGAGTGGTATTGTAGAAGCACCAATAACGCAACTAATTCATATAGGCTTACATTTTTACTTTTGATACTAGAATTGAAACCTGCTTTTCTTGGTAATTTATACAATGCTGGTTTCACAGTACACTGTCTAAATACTGTCTTAAAATACATGACCTCTCTGTTACTGAGCCGCTTTCTTCTGAGCAAATGTGGTAAACAGAGGGTTATAGCCTCAATTATAATATACTTATTGAGTGGGGAAATTAAAATCACTCTGTAATTAGTTTAATCTAGGTGACTTCTTGATGGAGGGCTGAAGGGAGAATTGATCTAGTGGATGTTGAATTATTAATGTAGAATATAAACAAGACAGATAAAGATCTAAACCCGTCTTTTCTATCACAATGGTTGAGGTGCTCTGAGAGGAAATGGAAAAAATGGATTTAACGGCTGGCAACTCGAAGAAAGGCAGCCGCTCGCTCACTCCCGGAGAATTGATCTAGTGGATGTTGAATTATTAATGTAGAATATAAACAAGACAGATAAAGATCTAAACCCGTCTTTTCTATCACAATGGTTGAGGTGCTCTGAGAGGAAATGGAAAAAATGGATTTAATTGGATGCAGGCAGAAGAAAGGATTTAACTTATGCCTCCCAAGTCCTGTGAGGTTTTGGAGGGAGAAGCTGGCAAAACCTTTTCCTGTGGGCATTTTCTTTCAAATTTGAGCAGAATTTACAAATCGTAGAATCATAGAATGGTTTGGGTTGGAAGGGACTTTAAAGATCATCTAGTTCAAAACCCCCTGCTGTGGGCAGGGACACCTTCCACTAGACCAGGTTGCTCAAAGCCCCATCCAACCTGGCCTTGAACACTTCCAGGGATGGGGCATCCACAGCTTCTCTGGGCAACCTGTTCCAGTGCCTCACCACCCTCATAGTAAAGAATTTCTTCTATCTAATCTAAATCTACCCTCTTTCAGTTTAAAACTATTACCCCTTGTCCTATCACTACATGCACTGGTAAAAAGTCCCTCTCTAGCTTTCATTTAGGTCCCCTTCAGGTACTGGAATGCTCAAAACTATTAAATTGCACCTTTTGTGGAAAATATACTTGACTGCTGGTTTTATTTTGTTTTATTTTTGTCCTGTTTGAATAGGAGTAGTTGTTCAGGTTCCCACTTGAATTTGCATGGTAGTGTATTGCAAGTTTAATTTTATTTACTATTTTAAAATATATATTTCTCTGTGTATTTATGTATGTCAATATGTGTGTATAAAATGTGATATTTTTTTTTTCTGAAATAATTTTTTGAAGAACATTTCTAATAAGTGGCTGTGCTGGGGTATTTAAGGAGCTATGTTATGATCAGAGCTCCATAGCAATATATTGCCAGTACTGTTTAATTGAATCACACATCTGTATTTTATTCTGTGTCTTTAAATGATTTTAAGATGTCCCTGTATGTGCTATGTTAGTTTATGTGCTTTTGAGAGTTTGCTTTTGATATGTGGGCTCTGAAACAGATGTGTGTCTGATGTACACCAGAGGGCAGGATTGTGTAGAATATCTCTATATAAAGCTTCTGGAACCCATACCATTGATTTAAAATGATAGTTTACATAATATAGGCCTTGGAATATGCTGTCATATTCAAGACCTTTTTATAGCCTTTTTATTTTTTTATAGCCTTTTTACTAGTTTTATACATAAAACTTAGACTTCTGTGATGTTTTAAAATGCTTTAATGCAATGTTCCTTAAACAAGATGTGGTATTGCAAGCAACCTTACTAAAGGGCCTTCTTGGGCCTCTCACTACAAGGAGGACATTGAGGTGCTGGAACATGTCCAGAGAAGGGCAACAAAGCTGGTGTGAGGGGTCTGGAGCACAAGTCTGATGAGGAGGGGCTGAGGGAACTGGGGCTGTTTAGCCTGGAGAGGAGGAGGCTGAGGGAAGACCTTAGTGCCCTCTACAACTACCTTGAAAGGAGGTGGTAGCAAGGTGGGTGTTGGTCTCTTCTCCCAAGTAACAAGTGACAAGATGAGGGGAAATGGCCTCAAGTTGCTCCAGGGGAGGTTTAGATTAGATATTAGGGAAAATTTCTTCACTGGAAGGGTTATCAGGCACTGGAATGGGCTATCCAGGGGAGTGGCTGCATCTCCATCGCTGGAGGTATTTAAAAGATGGGCAGACAAGGTGCTTAGGGACATGGTATCGTAGTGGACAGGTACGGTTGGACTTGATGATCTTAAAGGTCTTTTCCAAACAAATGATTCTATGAAAAATTTAGATTATCTAACAGTAATTCATTTACACCTTCAGCAATTTCTCCTGTTTAAAGCTCTAATTACATAGGTGGAATTAGTGTGCTTGTAATGGCTAATGAAACCTCTTTGAGGGGAGAAAGAAGGACAAATATGGGGTGGGATTTTTGTTCAGGATGGGGGTAGAACAGGATATTTTAGTTCAGTGCAGTGTTACTGGATACAGTATTTGATCCAAGGGGGTTTTCAGAAGTTTATAATTGGCAAGTAAATTGTATAATGATGTGTTTATCCCTATCCAGATTTATTTAGAAATAAGCATTACTACCTGGCCTCATCTGTTGTATACTGACCTTGTTACTTCCTTTTCTACCACTTTTACAGTTCCATCACCAGGACAGCTTCAACACAGAGTTCACAGTGTGGGACATTTTCCAGTGTCTGTCAGACAGCCTCTCAAAGCTACTGCTTACGTAAGCCCAACCGTGCAAGGTGGTGGTAGTAGTAGTAGTAGCAGCAGCAGCAGCAATATTCCAGTGTCCAACAACTTGCAGTTATATTCTAACACTGGGATCCCAATGCCAAACAAGACTGCCAGTCAAGGGATTGTAGGGCGCAGTGCTCTTCCAAGACCATCGCTGGCCATCAATGGGAGTGGAATACCCAGAAGTAAAATTGCACAGCCAGTTCGAAGGTAAGAGTTAAACAGGCCTCCTTCCCTATATGGGTGGTTTTGGCTTAGACTGGGGGGGAACTGAGGGGTGTTTTCTCTTGAACATGAAGCTGGCCTATGAAACAGAAGAGTTTCTAGCTCCCAATCTGAGTCACTGAAAGGATGAAGATTTCTTTCCACATATAATGATGGACAATGCTTGTTGGTAGTTCCTAGTAAACTATGATAATTAATAGAATGTAATCACATATAAATAAGCATGGATTGCTGCCCATCAATAAGAAATCAAAAACGATGGAAAAACCTCATAGCAGTAACATATGTGGCTTGCCTTCTTCCAAACTTGTGCCAAGCGCTATTTCAATGTCAGAGGATGAGCAAATCTTAGAGTACTCAAATAGATAGAGTTGCATCCCTGTTGTAAATGGCAGCAGACTGTAAAAATGCAACTTGTGACATTAGGGCATTGTGAAGAAGGAAACATTCTGGATAGTACAGTCTTGGGTTGAACCAGCATCTTTTTAGTTCCGCTTGGGAGACAATAGGAAAACAGGGAATCCTGGAGTATCTTGCATACTTGCATCATATTTGCAATGAGCTGTACTGTAAAGCAAATGCATTTTTGCATTTTTCCAGGAGAATTTAATCTCCAAATGATTTTTTTTTTTTTTTTTTTTGGTGGCAAGCACTTGAGGAAAGAGTCTACATTTTAATCACCTTATCACAGCTGGGAATTAAATTCTTAGCTGTATGTTCTGTGATTAATAGGTGATGAAGTATCTCAAAGAGAAACTTCTATCAACTCGTGTCAACTCTTCCAACTATTTTTCCCATTGCATGCATACCTCTTCTTGTGAGGGCTCGCTATGTGACCACCCAGTTTTTTCTTGGATGAACTGTCACTGTTAGCTCTCACAATTTTTATACTTTTCACTAGATACTGGCTAGATCCAGAATAAGTTTAATTGCTCACATTCTCTCTTTGATTGAGTTACTTGGGGATTACACTGATGTAACTGACAACAGATTTTGACCAACTGCAGTGAAACTTTGATAAAGACCTGTCGAGTTTCTTCTTTGAAGAAGACTGTACCATGAGATTTCTATTATAACCTCCTTTGCTCTCTGCTGGAACTCTCTCTGTAAAGGGTTTTTTATAAGTAGAGGTCTTGCTTTTTTTCTTTTACCTTTCCTCCACTTCATGTTCTTCTGCAGAGCTCTTAAATCTATCATAGCAACACGTGAGAAAGAGACTTTGTGGGCCATGAAGACCAGTCCCTTGCTATTTTTGTAACTTTTCGTGCAACCGACAATATTAAAGAAAACCCAAATTAAGAGGTTTCAGTGGGAGGGTGTACTCTCAACACTGTTTTTATTAGAAACTGATTCAAATCAGTAACAAAGCTATTTATACTCCAGAAAGTCTGGGCTCCTGTCTTTTCACCTTCAGATGTACCTTAGCAGCATCATATGTTGCAGTAGAGCCAGACCAATGTTCCTTGTAGATGGATGGTCTTTGCACTGTGGGAATGACAAGTTCATAGGACTCTAAAAGTACAGGCAGATTGGAGCTCAGCCAACAGCTGTTTAAGACCCTAGTTTCATTTTATTTATTCATGTGGAAAATACGGACGGTTTCAGTTCACATTGAATTTTCTTGGAAAGAATTCAGCCAGCAGCAGCAGACTTCCTCGCTGATGATTTTTGTCACTGGTCAGTTCTAAGGAATGGTATTTCTGATTATCAAGTTAGGAGTCTAGCTTCTGTTATACTGAAAATTAAAGTGGTTTTAGTCCTAACTGGGTTAAAAGTAGAAAAGGTCTTTTGTTTTGGTTTGGGGGTTTTTTTTGGTTGTTTTTTGTTTGGTTGGTTGGTTTCTTTTAATCAGTCAGATGTTCACATTCACAACAGAGCTGTTTCTTTATGCCTATGGCCAGACTGTTAGGTAGCCAAGTTATTGGTATTTTAGATACTGAAAACATGTTAGACACTTTATATAGGGCCTGCATTAGGGAACTTCAGTATTTACTGCAAGGGATCAAGCTTGTGAGAGGGAGTGCTTTCGATAATTTGCAAAATAACATTATAATAGCCTAGGTAACCAATTTGGCTAAATATTAACTGCTTTTCTCCTTGCCATCAGAGAGTCGTGCATCCAAATGCAGTGTCAAGAAATTGTAACAGTACAGTCCATCTCTAGTTAGCCTTACACATAAGGCAGCACTTTTTTTTTTTTTTTGGTTCCTGTTGAATGGATCCACACAACCCCCAGCGCTTTCCAACTCCATGCTGTGGGCCTCTTGCAGACCTACCTTCTCATCTCCCGTCCCCTATCTGCCAGTCCTCCACTTTCTATCGTTACCTGGGACCACTATATGAAGGGCAGCTTCCAGTAAGGCAAGATGAGCTGGGAGCCGAGTAGGACAGCCAGGCAGTAGGACAGCCCCACAGTACCCAACCAAGAGTAGCACTGATGGTGACTAGGGTCAGCCAACAGTCCCAGTCTCCAGACAAGTCCACAGTGACAAGGCAGGTCCCAGCTAAAGCCAGGAAGTCAATCAGCATGTCAGGGTCTGGATCATCCCAGGTACCAGGCACAGGCATGGCAGCAACATAAGCAGAGCTCTGGAGCCAAGATGGGAAGTTTGCTTGTTCCTGCTGCCTTGTGCTGGAGTCAGTCACTGCAGTCCAGCTGGTGACAGGAAAGTAGAAAGGGACTACAAACCCTCCAAAACTGTCATCTCAAACCATGTAGCATTGTACTGACAGCTTGTGCTTGTTTGAAACAGTTTTCAACGCTGGCACGCTTTCCTGTTCACTGCCCTGTGAATCACTGTAGCAGGGATTGACTCCGGAGACGTACCAGTATTCCTACATTTATTTTCAACCTAGCTGATGTTTATTCACTTCTGTCCTCTCCATTTTTTCTTGAAGATTGTTAAACATACTTTCTTTTTTTTTTTTCCTTTCTGGAAAAAAAAGAAATGAAAGCAGCAGTTGCAGAAAATGGGAGAGCAGGTGATGTTTTATGGCTCAAGAAAGTGGATTTATATCAAGATGAGTAACACTGCAACAAAGTGGAGCTGCACAAAAGCTGCTTGGCTGAACCTAAGTTTAACCACCTTTTCTACTTAGGTGCAGGGTTTTTTTAAATCTAAAAGCAGTTGTAGTGGAGAGGCGAGAAGCTGCTCTGGTGACTGTTTTTAACTTACTGACTCTGCCCGCCTTATAACATGCTTCTGCCTTTTTCCAGCCAAGGGCATTTGGAAGGGAGAGGAGGTGTCAGTAACGCACAGAAAAAGCAGGGAAGTATGACAACAAGGCTTGAGACCTGGTTTTATAAGAAACAATTTCACAGAATTGGGACACTTTATTTTCAGCAAGTTGTGGTGTAACTAAAATACGGTTGTGGCAAATTAGAGGTAGCCTGCCTTGTGAGTTGACAGTCAGGTCAAATCTGATGGTTGTTTCTCCTTTTTTTTTTAAATCTTTTCTGAAACAGTTAACTCTGTGGTACCTGGAGGGTTTGGGAGATGGTCAACAAGCACTTTTTAATAAGTCCTCATTCATTAGTGAGAGATGCAGCCCAGGTGTGAGGGTGGGGGGGCCTGGAGGATGGCAAGTTACCCTGCAGGGGCAGTAGTGCTGGACTGGTGGCTCTCTGACTTGGGCTGTGGGATGGAAACACATCATCACGTGTCTGGATAAGTGTGTCTGGAGCAGGAATTGGTAGAGTTCTTCAACAGATAAGATACCTAAATTCTTTAGTGTTAGTGCACTGTGTTTTTATAAAGTGCTGTTTTTTGACGAGCATGCTGAGCACAACAGCTTTTTAGTGAATATTTCCCACTAGATTGCTTCTGTCTGTAGTGACAAAAATGGGGATTTTATCACCTTTAGTCCTGAAGAACCAAATCTTCCCATTTAGAAGGGGTCTTGTGCATCATGAGAATTATTCACCAAATTCCTTTTTACCAACCTTTTATCCCGTTAAGACCAGTAACAGTAATGGGGTCTCACTGGAAGTGGCCTTAATTTCACATTTGCATGGAGCCGGAAATGTACCGGAGTGATGTCTCCAAGCAAACCATAAAGCCAGCGTCGCTACAGAAGTAAATGATAAGTTGATCTTTCACATGAAATATGACTTCCTTTGTTTGTTTGTTTTTTTTGTCATTCATTTAATACAGTTTTCTTCAGCCTCCAAAGCCACTTTCGTCGCTCAGTACAATGCGGGATGGGAACTGGAGAGACGGCTGTTATTGATGAAGGATGCCCATCGACAGTGAAAATAAATAATGTGGATTTCATTACCCAGCTGGCTGGGTAACAATGATTTGGGAAAGGAGGGTCATGCAGTATTATTTCCCCCGGGATTTTAATATGTAACCATCCCTAATGCAATGTCATTTTTAAAAAATGAACATCTTATCAAATACTAAATATTGCACTTAATCAGTTACCTGAACAGCTGCGTTGTTATCAGACTAACAATGGCAGTGTTGGCATTCGGAACTGAAGAAAGTATTATATATATGTGCAAACTACCAGACTATTTCCTTGGAAAGAACTAGGAGACAATGCTTTCCGGGCAGCTTTGCCGTACTGAAATTCTAAGATAATTTATTCAGTGTAAAGGCATCATGCATTTTATTTTCAATTTGGGGGGACTTATGTATGTGCTTGAATTTTTTCCTAGTGTTTCCAGTACATTTTATTTTGTATACTTAAGTTCATTTAAACTTGCCTGAACCTTGAACAACAGAGATAATTTAACTTTTCTGTGCCATAAATAATATTTTTGGGGTAATGTACTTTTTTAGCGCTAGGAACATATCATACAAAATTGTACCATTGGCAATACAAAGCAGTATATTTATGTTGCAGAAGCACAAAAAAAAAGTAGCATTCACTGGAAACTGCCATCCAGCCAGGTCAGCATGGTTTTGTTGGTCTTTCACCATTTGTTCATTTGTTAATTTATTGTTAGTGTTTTGTATTTAAAATGGCAGCATAAGTCACATTGCACTTACAAAGATACAGTGATCTCTAAAACTACAGTTGGTTTTCAGTACTTTATTACAAAGAATAAAATTGTAATGTTTTATTAACAGTTGCTTATGGAAAATGAGTTTTAATGCAAATAATCTTTTTGATAGATCTTTTACAAAATTCAATTGCACTAATCAATGCTTTCTTATAATGGCATATGACTTAATATTTGATTACAACTGTGTATACTGCTGTTTTGGAATGTTTCAGAAATAAAAGAATCTATTTCAGCAATAACGCTGTTCTGGAGTGTGCAATGCAAACATTGTCAGGATTTAGTAAGTGACATTTACTTAACTCCTGAAGTTTTTATTACTTGGCATCTAGATTATGCTGGATTTTTGCAAATAGTAACTAAGTTCATCTGAAAATTTTTTAAAATCTTGTGAATTTGTGTTACGAAGCCATAGTATGCATAGATGAAAGATAAGTCTTTTAAATCAATCTTATTGTTGTTTGTTTTTTTTTTCAATTTGATGTTCAGATTCTGCAAGTGCAAATGTGACTTGCAATGGGAAATAGAGATTGTGTGTACCAAGTGAGTTTTTCACCGTGGCTCTGAATTAGCTCTGAATTTTGCTCTGAAGGACCTGTTTTTCTTAAAAGGGCAAACTAAAATAAAAAACAAAGGAGAAGCATTTAGTGGTGAGTAAAACCTTTATTACCATAAGAAGTGATTGTATGGTAGTGCAGTATTATCTCCACACAGCATAGTACTGTTTTAACAGAGATAAACAATTCATTTTTCACGCTTTAGTTCTTTTAATCCAGTTAAAATCCTTTTTTTTTCTTTTCCAAAAAAAAAAAAAGCGGAATGGTTGAATTGAGTAGCAAGAAATATTCCAGCAAGGAAATTACCTCTGTATAGGTAAGTATTTCAGCAGCAGTATGAGGAACTCATCTTGCTCATAAGAAGCTTTAATTGAAGAAATTACTGCTGGTTAAAGCAATCAGTCATTTGTGGACAATCTCTGTTGTCTTGAACAGTTTATCTTGTTTCCGACTGATTGTGGCAGGGGTGCAGAGCAAGCTCAGGGGGGGCTTTGCTATTTGCCTGTGAGAAGGAGGGCTGTGGAACCTCCCAAGTTAAGCTCTCCTGGCTTTTGGTGCTAGGAAACCAGTATGGTTGTTTTTATAAAAGATGGTTGGACACCAATGGCAATCATAGAATCATAGAATCGTTTAGGTTGGAAAAGACCTTTAAGATCATCAAGTCCAACCGTTGACCTAACACGGCCACCACTAAACCATGTCCCTAAGCACCTTGTCTGCCCATCTTTTAAATACCTCCAGGGATGGAGACGCAGCCACTCCCCTGGGTAGCCCGTTCCAGTGCCTGATAACCCTTCCAGTGAAGAAATTTTCCCTAATATCTAACCTAAACCTCCCCTGGAGCAACTTGAGGCCATTTCCCTTCATCCTATCGCTTGTTACCTGGGAGAAGAGGCCAACCCCCACCTCACTACAGCCTCCTCTCAGGCAGTTGTAGAGGGCGATAAGGTCTCCCCTCAGCCTCCTCTTCTCCAGACTAAACAACCCCAGTTCCCTTGGCCACTCCTCATCAGACTTGTGCTCCAGACCCCTCACCAGCTTTGTTGCTCTCGGTGATTAGCTTCTGCTCATTGCTGGCTGTACCAGCCTTGGTCTGAGCTGCCTCTTCACTGTGTTCCCTAGTGCCGGGATTTTATCCCCATTCCTCCCTTATCTGGGACACTACAGCCCCACATTACTCTGAATTTGTGAGATGGTTTGCAACTGTTGAAGGTAATACTGAGTTGCACACTGGAGGGCAGTACATACTTTGAAAATGTTTTTTTTAGTAGCGAAAGCTCTTCTATTTTCCAGGCTCTTGGTCTGAACCCAGCGCCTGTTGTTTATGTATGATGACAACATGTTAAAGGAAGCTGCCCAACTGTTTGTGATTTGCATTTTTAAATTTCACACTACAAAATGCATCGTGAACTGGAGAGTCAAGCACTTTGTATATAATGAGCTCTTTGAGATGATGCAGTTAGTTTTCTCTTTTTAATTGTCCTGTTCCCTTGCGATACATGCATCCATCATGTCAGGATTTGGTAATCTTATAGCTTTACTGTTTTAAGTGTTTTTGTCAAGTATCTGTCACATTGGATGCCATCAAACCTTAGGTGGAAACCCAAGGTGTGAGCAGCTTGATCCCTTCTACACTCAAAGAATCAACAGAGTCACACTCATTTCAACCATGGGCTGTGGTACTGCTGCTGTTTGCCTGTAGCTGGGGGAGCTGGCTGTCTCCCCTGACATTAGCATCAATGAACCAGATACTCCTGCACAGTGCACAAAGTGTCACATACTTCACCACAGTCTCACTGGGAGTAAAATGTGTAGAACATGCAAGACAAAACCACTTCAGTCATGCTCAATTTTGTGAGAGGCAGAATCTCCTCCAGGGCAATGGGAAACAGCAAACCATGTGGTTTTCTTTAAAATAAAGACTCAGACTTATTTTTAACAACCAAAGTTTTATCTCTAAGTATAAGGGAGCGTTTGAGAACTCTCTTTGCCTCTTCTTTGGTTCTTCTCTTTTGGTCTGTGAATGCAAATCCCACTCCTGTCTCTTTGTTGCTGCATCCCAAAAATGACCTAACTCCGTCTCTCCAAACTGTAGTCTTGGGTCTACAAGTCTCATCTCTCTTGGAGTCTCAACTCTAGAGCTGATGACTCTCCACCTTTTTCTCTAAGTTTTTTTTTTTTTCCCTCCCTTTTTTGATATTGGGGATGAAACATCTTCATCTCCAGCCATTCAGCCCTGTAACTTGGGTACGGTCTTTGACTTTTCTACAACCCAATATTCTGGTTAAGTCAAAGTCTTGCATCATAAATTGAAGATACACATTTCCTTTTTCATCCCTGCTGATAGTGCATTCATCCATGATCTCATCTGAAATAATCTTTGGCCTTGTAGTATCTTCAGCATCGGAAATCTGTCCAAACTAAAATGATGAGAGAATTTTCCTGTCTTCCTGCTTTGGCCACTTCTTCTGTAATGCTGCTGATTTCCTTCCCTCTGTGGAATACAGTTAACAAGAGTTACAAGGTAGTTGTACTCTTTTTGCAAAGCCATCGATGCTAGTCCATCGCGCTACTGGTTTCTCACTGAGTGTTGAGGTGGATTCCCCTGTCTAAGTCCATGATGCCTGCCTGTGCCTGTTGCAAGCAAAGCACCTCCTAGCTCCCTTTTAAGTTGCCCCTCACTGTGGGGGGAATCCATCAAAAACATAAGGGACTCAAATTCTTATTCACCCTCACATCCTTCCTTTAAGGAAGGCTTTTCCTTTGGTGCGGCACGACTAAAAGCAAGGACTACAGTTAAACTGCCAGTGCATTCTGACTGCTCTTTAGCATGTTGACAAATGCTGCCTTGTCATTTTTAATTTCTCTGGTGTTTTTGCTATACCTAAATCACAAGTTGTTGGAGACATGGACTCCGGTCTTTTCCTTTTGTGTTTGTACAGTGTGATGTCCAGGATCTCAGGACCAGCATTGCAGTGCCTGTATGCTAACACAAATACTGAAAACCAGCATCTTCCCATGGAAAACACTATTTAAACATCCACTATGAATGATGGATGTGAGGCTTCATAATTAAAAATAATTGGGGAATACCACACACTCTCTCTTAAAAACAGATTTGTTGTGTTTAATCCTCAGGTGTGACTTACCAATTCAGAAATTGTGGATAAAAAGGGAAATTGCTAAGCCCGGATGACTTTCTTGCCACCATTGTGGTGAAAAGGGTATGTCCTTGCTGGTCTGGTCTAATTTTCTTTTTCCTAGCCTATCAGAGGCACGTTTTACTTTCAATACCCTATACAGGCCATCTGCTCAGCCATCGTTTTCCTTTCATGTACGCTTCCAACTCTTGCTCTCCCCAGGTTCCCACTTTTCTTGTGACCTCTGGTTACACGTGCTCTTGTGGCTGGTGCGGTTCCTGACCATCCTCCTACAGAACCCACCATGGTGGGTTGACAGTGGCCTGGACACCAAAGCTGCTCTATTGCTCCCCTCCTCAGCTGTACTGGCGAGAGAAAATATAACGAAAAGCTCATGGGTTGAGATAAGGGCAGGGAGAGGTCATTCACCAATTACTGTCATGGGGAAAACAGACTCAACTTGGGGAAATCAGTTTAATTTATTACCAATCAAATCAGAGCAGGGTAATGAGAAATAAACAC